GGGGCCGGGGCCGCCCCTCCCGGCGGGCGGGACCGAGCTCGGGGGGGGCCAGCCCCGGCGGCGGCGGGCGGGGATGAAGTCCGCGCCGGCTCCGCGGGTGGTGGGCGCCCCTCTGCAGACCGCCGCGCTGCCGCCAAGCCCCTCCACGGCCGTGCGGGCACCGACACCGAGCAACCCGCTTAAAAACCCCAGGGCGCTGGCGCAATCACGCCAAAGCACGGAAGGATTTTAAAACACTAAGTTGAGGGAATTCTGTGGGCTGGCAGCCTGGCCTGCGTCTCCCAGGCGTGTCACGGACGGTGGAAAAGTGCCATTCTGCTGGTGGTCCTACCCCCCCTTCCCAGGCAGGGCTGCCCCTGGAATTAGTGGGGTAAGAGCGAAGCCGTGACGGTGCTTCCTTAGCAAAGCTTGTAGCTTGTTGTGGGAAAATAACGGAAGACTGGCGAGGAGGATTGGAAGCACGCTCAAGCGACTCGCAGCCGAGCTGTCAAAAAGCACATATAGCCTACTAATTGTTGTTTGGTCTTGTGTGTTGGACGGGTAGAACATCTGTGTTTAGATAACATAGGCCTGTGACAGACTGTCGAACGTGCTTGAGATTCCTGCCCTGCTGCAGGAAAGATCAAAGCACGGTGGTAAATTACGCCTGTGCGAATCCCTGAAATACAGGCAAACCCAGCAGGTTCAGTAATCCTCTAGCATGGACCGAGCTCCACGGTGTCTGCGTCCCCGCTTGTGTGCCTCTGCCTGGGTGCTGCTTTGGGGATCCCCCGGTTGGCAAGGTAACGAAAATAAATTTACTCTTGGCATTTCTTCCGTGGTTTTGTGGTTGCTCCTGCATCCTGCCTGTGCTGGCTCACACACTCGTCGAGCAATTCTTGACTGGCAAACCAGTAGAAATAAAACTCCATTTCACTATAAAGATAATGTTGGAGGAGATCATGGAATGCTTTGGATTTGCCCCGAATTCCGAAGCCATGAGCATTCATTTTCTTTCACAGTGTCCTCCTAATCCACTCCCAAAGTTGCTGCTACTAAGGAGGCTGGAATTGCCTTGTGTAACTGATACACAAGTTAACATTAACCTCATTGTTACTACCTGTAGTTAATGCCCTGATGGTGGTGGGGGAAGCAGCATTAGGAGGAAGGACTCAAATCTGTGTATTCAACCACTGATGCACATAGAAGCTAAACTTCCTACCAAGCAGCTGACTTTTTCATATTTTATTATTTGAGACTTGTATCATTCTCCAGAGGAAATAACGAAGAAAATTCTACCCGGAATTCTGTATGCCTAGCCTGACCCTAAGAATAATTTATTTACTGCCATCTATCTTGGCTTCCTACCAAATCCCACATTTTATCATCAAAACGTAGCACTAAAAAAGTACTCAAATGTTTCCCTATATGGTTGCTTTGGGGCTCTTCTTTATTTCATACATACATCTGCACAGAATGGGAACTCCAAGATAAAAGCTAACTTGGCATGGAGGAACATTTCTAACTATGCCGTATCCCTACTTGTAAAGCCACTATAGTAAATTAAATTAAAAATACTTTAAGTATGACCTTTATATAACCTCTGTTCTTAGCTTGTCCTTATAAAACTTTCAGGGGTGTTGGGGATTTTTTTGTGCATAGAGAGAAAAACCACTTGGCACTGCATTTATAATTTTGACTAGATTACATGCATAAGCCAAATATTGTATTTTCAAGATTCATATTAAAAAATAACACTAAAATTCTAGTAAAATGAAACATGCATATTGATTAAACAAATATTTGAGCGACCAAAGGAAAATCCCAAACAATGTGGTCTGGACTATCTCACTGGTAACCTTGAGACACCTTGTCCTTTAATACCAGAAAGTAAGCAAGCTATAGAGCAAACCCTTGTATGTACACCTTGTAAGTGTACGTGGAAGGTAAAAGCATCTGCTTCGTGAAGGTTATCTGACCAAGGACCTGCCCTTTTCAAAGCAAAGGGGATAATAAGTAAAGGGGGATGTGATAAACAAGGACACACAGATGCAAACCTGGTAGACAAGGGACAATGGAGACAATGCCAAAGACCCAAACTCTCCGGTTACTGATTGATGGGCCATTGAAGAGCTCCAGGCGCAGCTTTGGAGAGGGCCACCTGGACTTTGTAACTGACAAGGAGGCAAACAAGAGGACCGTGAGGATTTGGGTTATTTGAGGGGGACTTTGCAAAACTTAGGAAGGAATGATTAGGGGAAGGGGATCGGGAAGGAGCAGAGTGGGGATCAGGCACAAAGGGGTGTAAAAGGGGTTGGTCGTGTGTAATGCACACTTGTCTGACTGAGCCTTGTGCCCGATCACCCTCTCTTCTTATAAAACCTTTCTTAACTGTCTCTCTGTGTACTCTCACTCTCCACACAGCATGTGCGGAGGCTGCAAGGAGTAAGTGCCAGCTACCGGGGGGATTGGTGTGAGTGCGGGGAGCGAGGGGCTCGGTGCCGGAGGCTGGAGCGGGACCGTGGGTCACAGCCTGTGTGCCTGGGGCTGGCTGCTGGGGGGGTGAGAGTCTGTACCTGTCCCAAACCGTGTGTGTGTGTGTGTGCGTGTGTGTGTGTGTTATTGGCTTGCAAATGTCACGCTGGACCAGCTGGTCTGTACTTAGATCTCCTGCAAGTCCTACAAGTAGGAGTCACAGCTGAAGGCAGCACCTTGTCTGTGGCCATTTGCGTAGCCGTCCCCGTCAGTGTCCTGTGCCTGCAAATGGGAAAGCAGCAGCCACATCCATCAGCCTGGGATGGGCATAACAAGCTGGGCTCCAGGAGCCGAGCAGGAGGAACCCCAGGCCCTGGAGCTGCTGGAGGCAGTAGCTGCTTCTAGCATGCCCCAGCACAGCTCTCATCTCTGTAAAGAGAAATTAACAGCATGTCTTCTTTTGCTTTCCCATCAATGGCTTTAATCTGGATAGCTGCAGAAGAAAAAGGAAGGAAGAATGAGAAGGTGAACACTAATTACTTCAGAGCGGTTTCCTGTATAATTATTAATTTCCCTTCAAAAAGCCTGATGGGAAAGATCAGGAAACATCAGGCTTCATATCATACTCCTGATTTATAGCCAACTGTGTTGGATCTGTGTGGCAAGGTTTTAGTAGCAGGGGGTTACAGGGGTGGCTTCTGTGAGAAGCTGCTGGAAGCTTCCCCTGTGTCCAATAGAGCCAATGCCAGCCGGCTCCAAGATGGACCCGCCGCTGGCTAAGGCCGAGCCCATCAGTGACAGTGGTAGCGCCTCGGGGAGAACAGATTTAAGAAGGGGAAAAAAAAAAGTTGCAGGGCACACAGAAACTGCAGTGGAAGAGAGGAGTGAGAATATGTGAGAGAAACAACCCTGCAGACCCCCAGGTCAGTGAAAAAGGAGGGGCAGGAGGTGCTCCAGGTGCCAGAGCAGAGATTCCCCTGCAGCCTGTGGGCAAGACCATGGTGAGGCAGGCTGTCCCCCTGCAGCCCATGGAGGTCCACAGTGGAGCAGATATCCATCTGCAGCCGATGGAGAACCTCATGCTGGAGCAGGTGGGTACCCAAAGGAGGCTGTGACCCGGTGGGAAGCCTGCACTGGAGCAGGCTCCTGGCAAGACCTGTGGACCCATGGAGAGAGGAGCCCACGCTGGAGCAGGTTTTCTGGCAGGACTTGTGACCCCGTGGGGGACCCACACTGGAGCAGTGTGCTCCTGAAGGACTGCAGCCCATGGAAGGGACTCACATTGGAGAAGTTTGTGGAGGACTGTCTCCCCTTGGGAGGGACCCCCATGCTGGAGCAGGGGAAGAGTGTGAAGAGTCCTCCCCTGAGGAGGAAGGAGCGGAAGAGACAATGTGTGATGAACTGACCCCAACTCCCATTCCCCGCCCTCCTGTGCCACTGGCAGGGAACAAGGTAGAGAAAATTGGGAGTGAAGTTGAGTATGGGGAGAAGGGGGGGGGGGGAAGTATTTTAAGATTTGGCTTTATTTCTCATTGACTGGTAATAAATCAGATTAATTTTCCTGAGTTGGGTCTGTTTTGCCCGTGATGGTAATTGGTGAATGAACTCTCCCTGTCCTTATATTGACCCATGAGCCTTTTGTTATATTTTCTCTCTCCTGTCCAGCTGAGGAGGGGGAGTGATAGAGCGGCTTTGGTGGGCACCTGGCACCCACCAGGGTCAACCCACCACACTGACTCTAGAAGTCCAGAGAAGTATAAATCACAGGCAGAGTTTAGAGAAATAATGAGGTCCTATCTGCTCCTTTCTATTTTTATTTCTGTGGCATACTACGTACTCTGCAGATAGAAGACCTAGTCCCTGCCTTGCAGCAATTACAGCCTTCAGCTTTCATCAGCAACAGACTGCACAGGCACAAGCACTGCTGTGGACTTGTGTTGAGCCTCACCAGCTCTGGGGAGACCCACCGACGGATCCCATCTCACTCCCCTCGCTACCAGCTGTGGAGGTAAAGACATAGCCTCAAACTGAATTAAAACAAAAAGATGCAAGGCTCAGTAAAAGCAGAGGTGGTCACAACACAGATTACAGCATGAGGTCACTGGGCTCCAATGCACATGAATCCTTTTTTCTTGCAGGCAAATGGATTTTGAGAAGTCAAGCGTGCAGCTTTCTCTGCAAAATCTCATGCAGAGGAGAATTTGCTTTCCTGCCTCGGCTCTGAGCGAGCTCTGTGGAAGGATGGCTGGTGGGACACTGGCACCCGGAGGCAGTTACTGTCGGAGGCGGTTGCTGGCACCATGTTGATCTCCTCCTTCCAGTCCTGACCACCAACACACACAGCGCCCCGCTGCTGTGAGTCCCTCTGCTAACAGTGATGCCGAACGGCCTTCAGCAGCCACCACTTAGCAGAATGAAACCCACTTACCGGTACTGTTAAGCAAACATTTAATGGCCTTAGAAGTATGCTGTCAAGTGTGTATCAAGAGAGAAATTCAACAGAAATTAAGCGCTCGCAAGTATACA